AGGCGACAAAACTCTAATATCAATAGAGCACAATGGGAACAATAGTTGCCCTCTGTCAATTATGCCATCATTACCATCGGAATAAACGACGTAACGGATCAGATGATAGTTGAAAAAACAACATGATGACAATGCAATGCAGACACCGCCGCATATCAATCAAATACCAAGGAAAACTAAAGCTTAGCTGCTAATAGATATGATACCTATTTCTGTTTACTCGTTATTGGTGATCTTGCATTTTCAAGATGTCGAAACAGTTACCCTATAAATGATTTATAGACTGCGGCGCCGTTTAAATTTTTGTCACTTAACAATGTACAATGAATCTGAATAATTAAAATGTTGCATGCCTGTTAATGTGCTGTGTGAATATTTTAAAATATTATAAGTCATTATAATGCATTATGAAATTCGTGTATAGAATCTTGTTTGGGCTGTTGAGCCGGTTAAGTTCTAAAAACCGGTTAATTAGAAATTATAATAATGAACTCTTTATGCTGTAAATATAGCATTCGGTACATTGTAAGCGACGGGCTTATTGAATACCCAAAGTTTGTCAAATAATTTTGTGTTGAAACTTTACAAGCAGTTTCTTGTATTCCCATAAATTCTATTTCCATGTTTAGGTATCTATTTCTAACATTGTTAAAATTGAAATTTAATACTCCTTAGCGGTGAGTCACTGCGATAATTCAGCTGTTTTGTGTCCCTGAAATACACAGTAGGATTTTTTGCACCGTAGCGTTAGTTATATAAAACATCTATATCACTCATGTATGCTTATGATATTTTGCACGGTATTATTTAGTTTTATCGCAGCCTCTATATATCGATGATTGTTTTGTTCACATTATAAAATAACATTTACTACAACCCAATGAGTTTTTATCGTTGAACAGCTACCAATGTTTGCAATTATTTGATCCTTGCATTTGTCAAATATGATCGAGCCGCGCGAAGGTGTTATTCGTTTTGCCGACACGCGATCATGCGATGAATCAGAAGCTTAACACTTGTAATTTGATGAGAGGTCCACGGTATTGAACGTAATATTTTTATTTATTTTATTATGTTTATTAGACTAACCAACGTCTGTATACAGTAAAACTTTGCCTAAATTGTTAAATAAAACTACATGAAATATATATATTTTTAATATTGGATATATAAGTCAAATACGTTTGCATTGTGTAACTACGCGAAAAACCTTTACAAAATATATTTATATTCTGCTCTATTCAAGTCACAAGCCGTCTTTTCTTTTATAACCCAATATAAGATTAAAAACAGTAATTAGGATAATACCTTTTCTGAATAGTTCCTGTCATAAATTACATTATTATCCGGAAAACTGACTGCTGCACGTTTAGGTTAACTCCGCATGCATTAGGGGGACAACAATGCATTTTAATATAAAATTTAATTAATAAGTTACATTAAATCATTAAATTATGAATATATTGAGTCGTACCCGACTCGAAGTGTTCTTTTTATTATGTCATGTCAAGGATGAAATTTTTTAATAATACTGAAGTGGTTGCCACTTTAAATACTTGCAATAATATGATTTTAAATATAAACCATTCACTTACTTAAACTTTCAGTCATGTCTTAATCTCTACAGGTGGTATTCTCCATATTTTAACTGTTTGCAAATGTACGTATGGTATGTCATAAAAATAACAAACTCACTTTTATTACCTTGTACGACCCATGTAAATAATACATGCTCTTGTCGTCTTGTATCGAATTTGTCAGCAGGCAATCTGGGATTTATTAAGCTACATTTTTATTAAAGTAATTTTGCATTCAGATGCAGTTTAATACTTATTTTCATAATTTGTATTGATTTTCTGTATTCGCAAGTTCATCTTCGAATTTTGAGGTTTTTTTTAATGCATTGTGTGTAAATAAACAATTTGATGATTTATGCAGAAAGTCTTTGGTTTTGTCGAAATTTGATGTTGATTGAAAAAGTGTCCCTTTATTTTTCAGGGTATTGCTGTGATACATACCTGTGTTTTCCATTGGCTTGTGAATAAGAATTACGATAGTCATTAATATCTTAATGGTCTCAATTTATGATCCTGTAACATAGCTTAAGTTTTATTGTGATGCTCGTGTTGTTTGTAGTAGGTAAATTGCTTGGCTCGTGCTTATTACAGGTTACCAATTTGTAATCATATCGGCGATGCTTCGCAACTTTCTTTTTGTTGTTCATGTTCTTTGTATTGCGTTTCGTTACTGTTGATTCGATATTGATGCTTTTGGCTTTAGGAAACATTTTAAATGCTCTCGAGATTGCAAAAATCTCACGACGCCTGGAAGTGAGCAAGTATAAAGTATTTTTTTTAATATGTTATTTGCGTCTGGGTCGACTTTGTTAGCCACCGCACTTTTTACAGCGATATTCGCGGTTCCAATAAATTCCTTTGTCTTGGCAACGTTTTATTTGTTCCGGTGACTTGGAAGTTAATTGAAAGTCGCGGTAAGTGGATATGATGAGATCGAATGGTTTGCAAAGGTTGCGCTCAGTAAAAAACTCGACAACAGTACCCTTAGCACGAACCAATACCGAATTCGAATCGTTTGCGAGTCCGAAATGTCATTGTCAAATGTGTACTGATTTTTAGTTCTCGTTACGTACTTTGTGGCGCTGCTGTTCTAGTTTCCATACAAAATTTGACATTGACATTTCGCACTCGCAAACTAATCGAATCCGATAATGGTTCGTGCTAGGGGTACAGTCTTCAGAGTTGTCTTTAGATTCTTTCGAAGATTACTATTTATACAATCGATAAAAATTAAAGTATTTTTCCTCCGACAGGCATTTCTTTCGCAAAATAAGTAGGTAACAGATGTATTACTTGCCTATCACGACGTACATATTTTGTTATACCGCAGATTTTAAGTACTGGCGATTTCAAAAAACGTTACTGGTTCATAGTTCATTGTAGAGTGATCTAAGAAATTATTATTATAATAAATTGGTACTACCTTAATATTAATTGGGCTAAAATTAATTTATAATAACTGAAAAAAAAAACTATTAATTCGTCTGAAACTGGATGAAATTTCATAGGTTTTCTTATTTTCTGAAGGGGCTAAAAAACTGAAATGAGCCCCAAAAAGTGTATGTACTTAATGCAATGCCGGAAGTTCGGGGAAAAGGTGAAGCTTTCTGTGGTGTTTTGCCGGCCACTGCCGCGGCACGCTCGCTAGGCTCGCGCGTTTTGGTCATAACACTAACACAACCTAACCTAACCTTGCTATCTCAATGTTAAATGAGTCTATAAAACACAACCCTCTTTATAAATAAACGAGGCATAAGTTTAGACTAGTTACACCGTGATTTGTTTATATCACTCAAATAAATGCCTTGTCATACGATGAACAGAAATAAAATATGGAGTAAACTAATCCAAGTTTATTCTTTGTTAATTATAGGCGGAAACAAGTCCAAAACTAGCACTTCACTCAAATCTTCAGACAAAACAGCTGTAATGAGGGACCAGACCATTGTTTTTGTGTGATTGTCGTAGTTGCATTTTGTTTTCTATTTGTGATGTTAAACTTAAATGTGTGCATATTCTCCCCGCAAAATATTACAAAATTATTTGAATAGTAGTAATAGGTATATGTCGCTATGGCTACTTCATTACGTGTTGATCTATGGGTGTATCTGTTTCTTAATTAAACAATTTTAGCTGAAACTATAATTTCTATGTTGCGTTTTCGGGTTTGAGATATTTTTAAAGAGGCACATTTCCTACTGTGGAATTATTACACGTTTTACCCTATTTCATGAAAAAAAAAGTTCATGTGCTCTTTTCCTAGACCATTCGTACGAAAATGCATCCGAGATTTCGAAACGCGGGGCTCTGAAGTTTTTGATGTAATTAATGTGTAAAATTAATATATCATAGTATCTTCAGAACACTGACATTCCTGTTGAAACTTATTTAAATACAAATTTATCTGTAAGCATTGCAAAATGATATATAACATTCGATACCGTTATATTCTTTTACATTTCTTTAGCTCACGTAAATCATTTTTAAAGAGAATTTATGATTCGTGTATCATAATTTAATGTGTTTCATTACAATTGTCAGAGAGTTGTATTGTAATTATTTTATTGCAGGATTGCTTCTCAGTACTACCATGACAGAGACATTCGCGCATGTTATTGGCGACTTCCTTATGTCGTCGATTAATTTCAATAGTTAATCAATATCATGATCAAGTGGCAATGTCCAATATTTATGCACACTTCTTAGTATTATACAACGTGAATTTATTTAAATCGATCTCCTCCCTTTATTTATAAAGGCCACCAGCGGATCCAAATTGAAAATTAACCCCATTTAGGCGGCGCACCTCCTGGGCGCTTAAATTTTTTTCTCGATGTACTTTTTACGTCATGTCAACACCGTCGATAAATTATGAGCAATCTAACAACCTATTATTATAGGGCCTGACATTTTATTCAAGTAAGGTAATTTTGAGCAAAATTGAAAATTTCTACCCAAAATTTGCCCTGCGGTGTGTCCGAAATGAATTTTTGAGATTTATGTAGTTATACCGATGAGCGTAGTTTAGTTTTTTGCCATTCGATTTAGTAATTTAAATGATAAATAAATTTAAAAACTTCTCATTTTGAAATGTTTGACATTTTGGTGGGACCTACCTAATTTGAAGTGCGCCTCGTAGTGTCCAAAACTTGATTTCGTCAGGTGTCTGAGGCAGGTCGTTGACACCGGTCAGGTAGGGTTGGTTGGTGATGATGGATCTGCGCCCTTATCACAACCGCCGCCTCTCGGCTCTCTCAAAGAGGTATTGTCTCAGACCACGGAGGCGTGTGCTAATGGCTGAGAAATTTTAATATGCATCATTAGTTTATAGAGTTTAACTCATTATTTGTTTTAAAACTTGTTAATGTTTTATCCTTGTTTATTCAGTGTGATGTAAAATGCGTTTTCTTTATTTTGTTACAGGCAGTACAAAGCCAGTTTAAAGAAATGTAAGTAGCAAAACAAGCTTTGGCCCTACTTTTTTGTTGTCTAATAACTAATTTTAAAGCAAAGGAACGCCTATAAACTATCATGTATTCTTAATATAGGCATCAGATCCATGACTAAATTGTTTTATTTATAAATATAAGTAAAGAATTTAAACTGAAAACGTATAGCGGCATTTTTAAAGCAAGGATTAATTTCACGCGTTTCTTATGTTGCGTACACTTGTAATAATGCAATTCTTGTGCCGACGTTATAAAAATCATTTAAGACATTTTGAAAATTGGTGTTGAGTAGGGCTCTTTGGACATTTCGTAAATTGAAAAACTGACAGTTCTGCAGTGACTCGCATGACCCTAGCCTTGCATTTATTGAAGGAAACATTGTTGCGTTATGAATAAAAATATTTTTTTTGTATATTACGAAATTATATTTTCTTTTGCAGATGGGATATCAAGACACTTCTGGAAACATTACCGAAGTTGGGAGCCGTTATCGACTTGACTAATACCAGTAGATATTATAATCCAGAAGTAAGTTATTGTTTTAGAAATATCTTTGTTAACATGCTAATAACATTTGCAACAGGTCAGATACATTATTGACTTCACTCTTTAATCTGGTATTACTATTGCGTAACGAGTGTTTTTGCTAATCTCATGGCAAAGTTTCATATTATATAAAAAAGTATAAAAAACTATCACTATCTACCTGCCTCGCTAATGTTCAATTCGTTAAAGCGAGCACTTGACAATGCAACATTACTAATTTTAAAGACATGAATGTTCACAGTGTTCCGTTACTTCTTTAGTTCTTTAACTTTTACGTTGGTACTACACTTGCTTAGCTCACGCGCAGGATCTGTTGTTATTTAACTATTAGGACTGTAGCTCAGGATTGACGGCTCGCGTCTCGCTGGCCGTCCTTACCTGGAAGCAGTAAAGTTATGTTCAGTTTTACGATTGAAAGTCACATTTTCCCCTACGATGCTTTGTTCGTAGCAATGTCTGATTGCCTTGCATTCATCTTACGGCATAATCTGATCGTAAACCCGCATTTTCATGAGGCCGACTGTGTCATAGTTGGGTTTAAGCTGTAAGATACCTTGAAGCAAATTTTAAATATAGCTTTTTGAAAAAATAAATACAAAACAGCTTTTAATATTTATCTAGTAAAATACTCATGAAGTATTGACATTGACTAGTAATAACAAAAAATAGCATTTTGTTATCCCTTTCTCGTAATATGACTGTCGTCTTTAACAGCGTTTCCTTGCAGGAAAGCGGACACTATTAATATTATTTATTTAAACTAGAAATTTCTATTGACTGTCGGCAACAATTGTATCCTCTCCGCATTTGCTATTTATCAGTCATAAGTGTCTGAAACTGGTAGTTTGCACATTCTGCATTTCTACGACTTTTGAATGATTCGTAATGTGCTAATCCTCCGGATAACTATCTGTCAGCCATTCCACAAGCTATATATATTAACACGGTTCCTGGCTTTACTGAGCTGTAGTCTTGACGTTTCCATTTATTGTGACCATCTTTTGTTAGAAGTAATGTCTGCGCATACAACTTATTTATTGCTTGTTTAACATCTTTCAGTTATTTAAATAACACATTCCTACCTCTAAATCCGTTTAGCTTTGTTTATTACCAGTGACCATTTATTGATGTACAGCAAAAATTAATAATGGCGTATTGTTTAGTTTAAAGCTCATACAAAAGTTCTAATGTAAGTAGAAACAAATAGTGAAGTTTGTCTCCCTCTTATTCAATGTAATGGTGCATAGGTCATGTTGTTAAATCTATAGATAGTCATAAAATAGATGGTGCATTAGCAGAAATATGAATAGTCAATGCTGCAAAGTGCTATTGAACTATTTTGATCCGTGATGTTTGCTTTCTCAATAACGTTGGCTTGGCACCTGTCGTGGCGTGACTACGATGACAGCAGAACGCAGAGCTTGAGGTACGCGCCGCTTGTCACCGTGTGTTGACTAGCATCCCGCCTGTCAAATCTAATTATGTTGACGTCCGTCAACATGAAATTAATTTTTAATTCATACTGTATTTGCTTTTGCAATCGTCATGAAAACGGGTTAAATTTCTCTTTATGGTGTACTAATTTGAATTATTTGCATATTGATTTTGTATATTTTAATACATGTAGGTGATATTCACAAACAATTAACTTACGCAATGCTTTTGCTAATAGAAATCTTATGTTCACCGATGTAATAACCAAGCGTTAAATCATAAACAACATACTTAACCAAATAAAAAAGTTGGTTATTAATATTATATAAGGTACCACGCAGTGATTCGAATATCAATACTAATCTGATTTAACGTTTCGTCACTTATCAAACATTATCTTATAGCTTAGTTGTCATCACCTGCCGGGATTACTAGCACATTGCCGCTCAATTATTATGTCTCGTGTCATCTCTTTCATGCTCCAGTAATCATAATCTCTAATACATTCGATTAAACCGCCATCGTATTATAAAGCTTGTAATAATTTGGTTGTTAAATTAATATAATTATTAGCGTTGTCACGTCATTTAGCACTCTCTTTCATAATCATTGAAATAAAACACAAGTTAATTATTTCCACTATGCAATTAAAGTTTTGAAAGATTAACTTTAATTTAATCCAATTAAGCTGTCACAAAGTTTGAATTAATATCCTTTGTTTGTGACACTTGTGTGATTTTTTTAATAAGCACTCTGAATACGATGATAATCCTACTTATTTGAATTTTCACATTAACCTTGAAGTATAGGATCATTTTCAGGTTTCGTGGTTAGCACAGAGATCTGTGTGAAGATATATATTGTGTCAGCTTCATCAGTACTTAGTAATGAAAAGGTTATTGCACTTGATTGTTTTAAGCTATAGCTATGAAACGCTTTTTGTTTCAGGATCTACTGAAATCAGGTATTCTTTACAAGAAGATATTTATGCCAGGACGCATAATACCTCCAGAAGAGAAAGTACACGAGTAAGCTCACATTTCATTTATTTATTCCATTTTTCTTTCTCTTTTTGTTTTGCCGGTATATGCCTCTACCCAGGCAGGGTGAAATTTTGGAGGGGGTCACTTATAATAATATAGGTCAACGATATTTTAAGAATGCGAAAATTTCAAAAAAGTATACATTACTATATTCTCAGTGAACGACAACAACTACGTGAGGTGTTTTCATTTCTGAGAAAATTTTCGATAGTAATATTATACTATATACTATATTACTATTGTATACTTTCTATATACTATTAGAAAGGAAAGGTTTCAACGAACAAAAAACCGTTTTGCCGTATACTATTGTTACTCTAACTATTTTACATTGTATTTATAATATTCAATAAATATTATTCAACTTTCATCTCGAGTAAGTATGTAGGGATATAAAATGTTTGAAAAAACTAAATTGAATTCGAAATGTTAACTGCCACCGCCGTAGTTTGGCGGCAAGATCGTTTGCAAGTTTACACCCTTAAATGGTCGTGCGTAAATCAGAAACAACTCAGCTATCTATCAATGTGTTCCAGTGTTATCGTTTTGCATTTACGGCAGATTTTAATTTGAAGCGTCGAATTGGCGCCGTTCGTAGGCCGAATATGGGTAATGTTATAAATCTTGACGCTCCGTGTGGGAGGCTCTGTGCCCGAGGCCCCAGCGGCGCTTTACTAGCCACGTACCACGACAGTGGCGAGGCCTTAGTCGATAAAACGGAAACGATAAACGAAGAATTCATCGTACAATGCGTAGCTGCCTTCTAATGCTCTTCTTGAGTTGCATCGCGATCAGCAGTGTTCTCGTGGCGGTCCACGGAGTCGGTTTCTTTATTTTTAATGGTGTAGGCCCCTGGTAGTTTCGGATTCAATTGAAGCCGGCGCATCCAGCGTTTGTTCGGCGGCGCGCGGCGTCTGCCTGCGCCCACGCACGATGCTCTCGGAATTTGAAAGGCATTTGTCGCTGCCCGGTGCGTGTCGCTTCGCGTGTAACATTTGTCCCTGCAACTAAAACAGGCGCATACTTTATTAAGTCATAAATTGTGACACTATAAAATCGGAACGTAAACAGCTCTTGAAATCAATATTGAATTTAATATTAGTTTATGTCATCTGTACGCGTTTCGAATAGGGTTTTAGTTGAATACTTTTTAAAGTGTACTCTAATAGAATATTTAATGAGATATCGTAGAATGAGAGTTTAATTTCCTGACGTTGGGAAATGCTCATTTTAATGTAGAATATTATTCTCTGGTAATTGGTAAACTGCGACATCGTATTTTGATAACCAAACTTAAGCTGACCGACAGACATGGTATTATTTACAAAGATTAAATAGTGTTTCGAGCGAGGTATCTCTGTAAGTTTAAGATTATCTCGGTCATTTGTCCGGGTCTTTTGTTGAGCAGTGCGGGCTGTCGTCGCGCGTCCGAGCCGTAAATAACCTTCGGCGTTTCCGAGACGGTTGGCTCCTGTTATCGGTGGAGCCTGGTGATTGTTAGTTTAGTTTGTGCAGAGGGTGTACAGCACATTTGCTGCCATCGGGTCATGGGAGACCACTTGGAGTTATCGTTATTTGCGTTTAATTTAAATTAGCTGCAGTGTATAATGCCTTCCAATTTTTTCTAGTCAACAAGTACCACTTCGGCCGCGCTGTTTTATTGATAGTTAAATTTGACTATAGTTAATGCCACGTCAAATATATAGTCTGTACTTAAATTTCGAGAAATGGATATTTTTTTTCTAAAGGATTTAACTAAAGTAAGATAATTCTATCGATGGAACAACGTGGCCTTAGTTGTTTTATTTTTTTAAAAGTATCATGTATGTACCTACATATTTTAAAATATGATTATTGTGTAGGTATTATTGCAATAAATATAATCAAATGTAGAAAATCAACCCAAGTCGCGGGTTGATTTTCTTTTTTTTTTCTTAAGGAATAGCAGAGAAGCATATTATAGCCTGCCTGATGGTAAGCGGCCGCCATAGCTTATAAATTCTTGCGATACCATACATTATCACTTGCTTGTTACCTACCCAAACCTCATCCACAATCCATGTAATTGTTACTTACTGGTCGGAACCTTGCCTGATGCCTTGAGACCTTACTTACTGGTCGGAAACCCATCACCAAAAGCAATATTATTGTTTCGGAGTCTTCTATAAGGTGGAGTTCCGATTCGGCATATGATATTATCATAATCAGGAATAATTGGAGATCTCGCATTTAAAACTATTCAAACCATAAGAAGTCACAGTATTGATCGAAGATTAAATATTTTTAATGAATGAATAATAAGGGAATATCCATTAGAGGACAGTATAATCAGTGACCCTACTTAAGACAAATGTGCCACCCGTAAAGTCACTCCGGGTACTAATAACGGATCTGTATATCGAATAGAAAGAACTAATTCAACTCGACGCATCTCGGGAACGATCTAAAGAGAAATATCTACATATATGATTTTTTGTTGTTCTTTTTCTTAATTCTTAATGAGGTAGGTATTTTGGTGTTTTAAACACTTTGACAAGTATTATAAACATTCGAAAAAAGAAGTGGTGGCTATTGAATATTATTATTATTTCTAGTTATTCTAGTAAAAAAATCCGTTAGATTTATATGTTTTGTATCTCTTTAAACTTCTCCTATATTTTAGTCACGTGTTTATGGTTTTCTTTGGTCTCGTGTCCATGGTGGCCAAACCAAACAAGCATTTCAATTAACACTTATTTCTGGTATAGTCTAGAAATAAAGTTTTTCTGACGTAATTCTCTTTGTATTCAAATAGTTGATGCTAATGGTGTTTGAACTTCAAAACATTTTTATAAAACTTACCAAGACGTCGTGGAATAGTCGTTAGCGATAGCGCCGCTTATAACTTATAAGTAAACGAAAAATAAAGAAGAGTATTGAAACTATTTGTTTGCCACGGCTAAAATCATATGTTGAGATTTCTCTATGTAATTTAATTTTTCATCAAAGATTTTAAGACTTTCTGAGAAACATCTGTATAATATATTAACAAAAAAAAAACACTAATTAAATAAATTAATGGCAGCAATAATTTGCACAAAATTATGCCTCCATTCCTTTACAGAATCATTGACGATAAATCTGAGGACTCGCTTTCTTTTCACCTCATGAGAAAGAATGAATGCGTTAGTCTACATAATTATAAGGTATGTGTATATTTTGAGGAGCCAAATCAAAAATTTTACTAATCTCATCAGTTCTTATACTGTGGAAAATGTTTGAAATAGTAAATTCATTATGTGAAAATCTAAGTAATAATTATATTGATATCATACCATTTCAACCCTTTCTTTAACTCTGATGAGCCAACGATCCGTGCGTTATTGGCCGTTCATTTATCACCGTCGTATTTTTACTTGTTTCTCTTGTCCTCTGTCGACAATCATGTCGTCATTACATACCATCTCTTGTAGCGATCACCCCGTCAATAAATTGTGACCACCATCGAGGTTTTAATAGATTTTTACTGCCCGTATCCTAAAGTTTTATTGTCCTGTGTTTGGATCAATGCTTACTTACCGATTTCGATTCCCTGGCTCAGCTTTTATAGCAATTAGGGTGAAAGGACTCAAATTATAACGTTATCTGATAAATGTTCGCTAATATGTTTGCATCCCCGTGAGCTAGTTTGCTAAAATATTTCTTAAAATAGTCATCTTTATTACAGTTGTGGTTCTAGACGATTCAATATTGACACACCGAATTCCGTATCATTACACGTGTCAAATCCGCGTTTAGACATGTTTTGTTTGTGATTATATTAGCGCATGATTGAGAGTTATCACGGTACAATTTTGACATCGCATTAAATCATTTAGTATTTTTAGTAGTTTTACTCAGTGATTAGATGTTGGGAAAACCTCCTGTCTTTTTTTACATGAAACGTACAGCCCAATTGTTATTAAGTGGTTTTGTGTCACTTAAGTGTGAATAGTTGTTTGTTTTGTTAACTATTGGATTCAAAGTTCAAGTTTGGATGCTCTATCTCTCTTTTTTTAAACACTTATCGAATTTAATATTTATAAAAATAGAAGCCCTTCGAAAATATCATTAGGGGCTGGTTGTTTATTTCATTCGAAATCACTGATTTAATGCAAATGTTAATAGTTAATAGGTTGTGAAAGCAGCATAGACAAGTGCTGTCTCCAGATGCTTGGGGCGTACTCCAAAAAGGCTACCTAAAAGTTTGTGATTTGTGCTTTGTTATTGGCAACTACAGCTTGGACTGATACGCCCCAAACTGCTTTATATATCGAAGGTAATTGTTAAATAATTGACTGGGTATTTACCATTGAAGATATTCGTCGAACTTGTATGCTTACCACATTCAGTCGGTTTCAATTTCCTTAATATTTCGTAAACGATCAGCCAATCGTTGCGCCCAATAAACCACTTCCCCAAACCTTCCGTTCTGAACCGTATCGAATGGCTTGTAATGTGTCTTACGTTAAGAATTGTTATGGCCCCTATTATCTAGCTGAGGTGTTAAAACTCTTACATTGTTGATTGTTTGTTCAACAGTGGGGCGGAGGTTTGTTAAATCAGAATGATATAAGGGGTTTCGTGGCATGATAACAGACTCATAAATATGGCGGCCGCGTCGGCTATTGTCCAAATTTAGTGTCAGTAAGTTTCTTTATCTGTGGAGCGCTTACTTTTCACCGATTTAATTTAGATTTTAAAGGTGCGATGTAATGTTTTCGTGTAACAAGTCTGAGAACACTTAGTTGCCGAGTGGAGCGTCTCGTTTTCTTTGGAAATTACGATTTTGTTTGTGTGCTCGCGCATTATTGAATTAGATTTTTCTGAATATTATATTCAAGAAAACGGAGTCGTCGTGTTGGTCGAGATCTGTACATGTGTGTTATGTGAGCCTCAGAATTCTACGTGCGCGATGTTGCAGGCTATCTAATTTCTCATCGATTTTGTATGACCATCATTGAGTG